GAATACTAGAAGTCATTTAATAGAATTAAGTAGAGCAATGTGTGATGGAGAATGTCTTCAACATATATCACGATGTGAAGGAAGCCAGGTGTGTACAACAGGGCATACAGGACGCTATAATTTTTATGAAATAGTGAAAACTTACTTCTCTCTAAGTGTAAGTATGAATGCTGCCTGCTCCTTACTATAGTAAGGAGAATCCAGGGAAGGAGAAAGAATGATTTTCTACACATATCACTTTGTTCTATTTGACTTTTAGCCCACGTATATTTATTGTATTTATTATAAAAAAACAAATACCCTTTCTAAAGGGGTTGTTTTATGGCAGGTCTTTGATGTTTTACAAGCCAGAATAATACCAGTCTGTTCAATTGAGTAAGGAATGGGTGCCAACCTCTGTTACACATTAGGTGATTTTGGACCTTGCACAATATTCAATATAGGAGAAAGTTCGTGCCCAGGACCAAGGGGTGGAGAAAGACACAGCAAGATCAGAGAGCAGATAAATGAATCCCCAGCAAAACCAACATTTCTCATCCCATTTCCACATAATTTTGTTTAGATCTGGGATTGTGAGAACAAGTCTATGAATTCAGTTTGGAAAGCGTGGAATAATGGGTGCCAGAAATAAAACTTTGGTTGATCATTCATTCATTTATTCATTCAACAACCACTTGTAGATGCCACATTGAGTGCTGTGATACTAAAAGAATAAACTTCAATTCCTGCTAACCTAGCCCCGAGAAAACTCCTAAGTCTAGTTGAGAGAGGACATCTAGATTCCTAGCTTGAGCAATGGGACAGGGATGTGGGTTCTTTTTACCAGATTTCAAAAGGTTAGAAAAGAAGGGTTCCCTGACCAGCTCCATCTGTACAGCATGACCCTTGATCTCAGGGTCATGAGTTCCAGCCCCACATTGGACACAGAGTTTACTAAAACAAGCAAACAAACAGAAAAGAAGCCAGGGGTTTGAAGGAGGAAGATCAACAGTTGAGTTTTGGACGGAGTGATTTGTAAGTGGAGATGTTCCCTCCTCTAGCAGTATTCTGGTGAGATGGGTTCTCATCTTTTCAGTGTCTTGGATCCTTCTTCTGCCCAGAACTCCTTCTGCCCTCCTTCTGCCCTCCTTTTGAAGAGAAAACTCTTCAAAACAAGTCATCTCGCTTACTGATACCACATTCTCTTCACGCACACTCCCGTGAACCTGCACTTATTGGGCTTTGTCCTCCACATTCCTCTGAAACTGTTCTTGTCAAGAGTACCAATAACTACGGGCGCCTGGGTGGCTCAGTTGGTTAAGCGACTGCCTTCGGCTCAGGTCATGATCCTGGAGTCCCGGGATCGAGTCCCGCATTGGGCTCCCTGCTCAGCGAGGAACCTGCTTCTCCCTCTGACCCTTCGCCCTCTCATGTGCTCTCTCTCTCTCTCTCATTCTCACTCTCTCAAAATACATAAATAAATCTTTAAAAAAAAAAGAGTACCAATAACTCCTTGTCTGGTCTCATCCTCTTCTCTCAGGGCTCACTCTTGCCAGCTCCCCAGTTTGTGGGGGACTTTGGTGTGATGGTCCATTATTAAAATCCCATCTTTGCTTCTTTCCTTCCTTTTCTCTTACTCCATTGTACTTACCTGGTGTGACGGGCTGAATGGTGCCCCCCACCCTATTCATATGTTGAGGTCCTCACCCCCAGTACCTCAGAATGTGACCGGATTTGGAGACAGGGCCTTTAAAGAGGTAATTAAGGGGCGCCTGGGTGGCTCAGATGGTTAAGCGTCTGCCTTCGGCTCAGGTCATGATCCCAGGGTCCTGGGATCGAGTCCCGCATCGGGCTCCCTGCTCAGTGGGGAGCCTGCTTCTCCCTCTGCCCCTCTCTCTCTCTCTCTGTCTGTCTCTTATGAATAAATAAATAAAATCCTTAAAAAAAAATAAAGAGGTAATTAAGTTACAGTGAGGTCATTAGGGTGAGCCCTAACCTGATAAATCTGGTGTCCTTATAAGAAGAAATTGGAATGGAGAAGGGCACCTGGGTGGCTCAGTCAGTTCTGAGGTCAGATCAGATCTGATCTCATCTCAGATCATGATCTCAGGGTTGTGAGATCGAGACCTGAGTCGGACTCTGCCCTGGGCATGGAGCTTGCTTAAGATTCTCTCTCTCTCCCACTTCCTCTGCCCCTCCCCCCACTAAAAAAAAAATAAAAAGCATAAAGAAAAAGAAATTGGAATGGACACACAAAGGGAAGACCGTGTGAGGACAGAGTGAAAAGGCAGCCATCTACAAGCCAAGGAGAGAAGCCTCAGAGGAAATCAGCCCCATGGGTATCTTGATGTCAGCTTCCAGAACGGGGAGACAATAAATTTCTGTTGGTTGAGCCACAACAGACCTGTGTGGCTTTGTTACGTCAGCCCTGGCAAATCCAGCAAACCCCAACACCCTCAATCCCACGCTCTGCCCACTTTTGCCCTTTCTACTAGGCAGCAGGGAGTAGCCAGACAAAAGAGCACCCCCTCATTGACTGGCCTTTCTTTAAATTCCTGACCACTTCATGATACCCTGAGAACCTCTCTGGTTTCCCTACTCCGTCTACTCTGCTGGTCTCCTGCAATTCTACCAGCCCTCACCCCCTCTCAGTAGGTGGATGACCTCATTCCACTGAGAAGCAGTCAAAAGAGGATGCCCCCACGTCACTGTCAGCCAACCCAATAACCTAACCCCGAAAGCCAGGGTCTCCATCTTCCTTCTGTGAGGTAGCAGAGCTTCCACACACACGCCCCTGTGCCTCCTCAGTTCCACTCACCTACACATGAGCTTTTCGCAAATTTTAAGCTTTTTCCAGCAATTTCCCCTCTTCTGCATTATCAGCTGTTGCCCGTCTCTTGGGCTATCCACTCGTCCTCAGAGAAAGGAGAGACTACACGGTGTCCTCTTTTTGAAGAGAAAACTCTTCAAAACAAGTCATCTCGTTTACTGATACCACATTCTCTTCACGCACACTCTCGTGAACCTACTCTTATCGGGCTTTGTCCTCCACGTTCCTCTGAAACTGTTCTTGTCGAGAGTACCAATAACTCCCTGTCTGGTCTCAGCCTCTTGTCTCACGGGCCAGTCTTGCCAGCTCCCTCTGCTGAGACTCTTCTCATCTTGCTGACCCCTGCTACAGGCACACCCCCCAGGTGAGTCTCTGAAACTGCTGTTCCTGCACACGCTCTCTATGTGATCTTATTTATCCACTCGGCTTTAAAAACTATCTGCATGATAGAGCCTCCCATATTTATGTTTCCAGCACTGACCCCTTGAATTCCAGATATTTATACCCAAGTAGCTACTTGATGTCTCCTCCTGGGGGTCTAATAGGCATCTTAACCTTACCTCCAAAAGCAAAGTTTTGTTTGGTGCCTTTTCCCCCCAACCAAATCTCCTTCAGCCCGCGTTTTCCCATCACTATAATTGGCAATGCTGCCCTTCCTTTGGTCAGTTACTCAGACCGAAATTCTTGGAGTCCTGTTTGACTCCTCTTTCTTGCAAACCCCGCATCCAACTCATCAGTAAGTCCTGTTGCTTCTACTTTCAAAATGTATCCAGAATCCAACTGCTTGTTTTCTTTGCCACTTTTGTTACTACTTCCCTAGTCAAAGTCATCATAACTGGCCTCCGACTTTCCCTCCTTACTTTCCTACAGTTTATTCTCAACACAGAAGCCAGATCGAGCCTTTCAAATGTCATGCCTGATCAAGTCACCCAGTGACCTTGAATAGGTTAAAAATAAAATTCCCTGTCCCCAAAGTCCTTATCCTGTCCCACGGGGCTATTAGTGATCTGGCCCTCTGCTACCCTCTGAACCTTCCTGTTCTGCCTCCCTTAACCCTGCATTCCAGCTCCAATGGCGTCCTTGCTGCTCCTGGAACAGGCCAAGGGCCTTTCTTTCTCCTCAGAGGTGTTTTTTTTGTTTTGTTTTTTGTTTTTTTTTTTGCCTCAGCCATGATTTCTGTTATTCCTTCCATCTGGAAAACTTTTGCCCCGGGAAGTCCCGTGGCTTGATTTTTCACTATCCTTAGGTCTCTGCTGAATGTCACAGATGGTCCTAGTGTTAAGGAACCTTGAGAGAGGGCAGGAGTTGTCTGAGACTAGCCACTCGATTATTTATTGACCCACCACTTAGAGTACTTGCTGCATGCCAGACAGTTTTCCAAGCACATCCCATGGATTCTAGAATTACATCCCTAGCCTCACAGAGCAGGTAGTAATAGCTAACATTTGTTGAGCACTTAGCATGTGCCAGGCGTTGTGCTAAACACATTGCAAATATGACCTCTCTTAAACCTCATCATACCCCGTGAAGTAGGTACTGCTATGATCCCTGCTTTACATCAGAAGCACAGAGAGGTCAAGTAACTTGCCCCATACCACTCCAGTAGTGGGTAGTGGAGCTGGATTTGAACCCAGGCTTAACTACTGATGTCACTGGAGTTAAGGAGTAAAGGGTGAGGCTTGAGTGCAGCTTTTGAAGGGGGTGGAGCAGGCATTTGTCGAGGCTAAGAAGTAGAGGTAAAGATCTCCCACGCAGTTGACCTGTAGGCGGTCAGAGGCAGGTGCAGAGGCAGGCAGGCAGTCAGCCTCCACACTTTCCAGGATCAGGTGGGGCTGAAGTGTAAAGGGCAAGACTGATAAAGGGAGCGGGCGGAGAAGTATAAAGTGATAGTGTCTGTTTTTCCGGACACCTGCAGAGAAAGCTTAAGGCCGGGGCTTTTCCCTGGAAATGCAAAGTCTGGTCTTTGTCTGCTCAGGAGGCTGGAGTGAGCGGCTGTAGTAATAGAGGTCTTCTAAGTTCTTTAAGTCTTTATTGGTCTGGCTGGCCACGGAACTTTGGAGGAGGGGGTGGGAAAGGAAGCCGATAAAAGGGAGGTGCAGTTTCGGAACCGGCCTAGCTCTCTCCTCTCTTGCTGACCGGCCTCTGGCGGGTCTCTCCTCCAACTTCGCCCTGCAGACCCCTCAGGGGACCCCAATGGCCAACCACAGATTCAGTTCCGTGTCCGAGGAAGAACCCTGCTGCAACATTTCCAAGAAAACCCAGATCTGTCTCTGCGTCTTTTTTGGTCTCCTGATCGCGGTGATCATCGCGGTGCCGGTCGGGATCCTGATGTGGCGCCCTCCGCTCAAGCAGTGGAAGGGGGAGGGCACCACTGCCCATTTGTACGAGATCCTCCTGGGTCGGTGCTACACCTACACTCAAATCGTGCGACCTGAGCTGGGGTGAGTCGGCGTCCGTGGCGCGCAGCTGGACACGGCTGGGCACCGCGCGCGAAACAAAGCCTCTTCTATTCCGGGTCAGCAGAGAGCCCGCTGGCCAGGGCTGAGTAGGGAGTGCTGGCCTTGCGAGTCCGTGCCACTCGCCAGAGCGCTTGGCCTTGGCACCGAGGGTGCGGACGGGGAGCGCGGGGCTCGCTGGCCCAGCGGGCTCAGCGGCCGAAGCCCCCGCGGAGATGCCCGCCTTCGGCGCAAGGTGCTCGGAGCCGGGCGGGTTCCGCGCCGCAGCCCCGCTCGGAGCTCGCTGCCCGGCTGCTGGAGCGGGCAGGAGTTGTCTGAGACTAGCCAGGGGGGGGGGGGGGATCGCTGGCGTTTTCTACTTTGCATGGGATTTCTGTTCGCTGGCCCCAAAGTGCCCGGGCAGTTACAGCTGACACCAGGGTAAGTGGCTTGCGGAGACTGCAAGGGGTTGGGGGAGCATCAGAAGGGCCAGACCACTAAAGTGAGTTTTTTTTCATGAATATAAAACAGTACTTCTTGCCCGCCCAGAGATAGAGGGGACCGGAGAACTCAAAACAATAACCAAAAACAAAACCAAAACAATAACTTTTTTTTTTTAAGATTTTATTTACTTATTTGAGAGACAGAGACACAGCGAGAGAGGGAACACAAGCAGGGGGAGAGGGAGAGGGAGAAGAATACTCCCCGCTGAGCAGGGAGCCCGATGCGGGGCTCGATGCGGGGCTCGATGCGGGGCTCGATGCTGGGCTCGATCCCAGGACCCTGGGATCCTGACCTGAGCCGAAGGCAGACGCTTAACGACTGAGCCACCCAGGCGCCCCAAAACAATAACAACCTTTAAAACTGAGATAAAATTTACACTGTAAGGTGCGTCAGCTCGATGGATCTGTACAGACCCTGAAAAGACCACCCACATCAGTCTATGGAAACTTTCCGGCCCGTTCCTTGTGCCTCCTGCCAGCTAGTTCCTAATCTCCCCCAAAGGGAACCGCTCGCTTTCTTGACTTCCATTCCCAGGGTTTGGTTTCACCCCGAGAACTCATTTTTGAATTTGTTCATCGAAGGGAACCAGCCAGAAGTAAAAAGCTATCCCTCAGGCTGCCCAAGGCGAGCACTGGGAGCCACGGTTTCTGCTGTAAATTTGAGATTTCGCAATTAATTCCGTTTGCAGAATCATCCTCAGAAACTCGCGGAGCTGAGCGGTAAAATCCTCATGCCAACGCCCCATCCCGCCCGCCTCCCAGCACTCTCTCAGCCCACGATCCTAATGCAGATACCGGTGGTCTCGCTTGCACATTTTTCAAGGCCAAAGATTGCCTGGATCCCTTAAGTGCTTTGTTTCCAAGTAATTAAATAGTTAATGGAGAAACCAGCAGTTGACGCGTTCCTTCAGGTTACACTTCAAGTATCAATAAAATCAAGCGCATCCGATCTGACACAGTAATGATATAGCCGTCTTTTTTTTATATATACTTTTTTATTATGTTATGTTAATCACCATACATGTCATCATTAGTTTTTGATGTAGTGTTCCATGATTCATGGTTTGTGTATAACACTCAGTGCTCCATGCAATACGTGCTCTCTTTAATACCCATCACCAGGCTAACCCATCCCCCCACCCCCCTCCCCTCTAGAACCCTCAGTTTTTCAGAGTCCATCGTCTCTCATGGTTCATCTCCCCCCTATTTTCTCCCCTTCTTTTTTCCTTTTTTTTTTTTTTTTAACATATAATGTATTATTCGTTTCAGAGGTACAGGTCTGTGAGTCAACAGTCTTACACAATTCACAGCGCTCGCCATAGCACATACCCTCCCCAATGTCTATCACCCAGCCACCCCATCCCTCCCACCCCCACCACTCCAGCAACTCTCAGTTTGTTTCCTGAGATTAAGAATTCCTCATATCAGTGAGGTCATATGATACAGGTCTTTCTCTGATTGACTTATTTTGCTCAGCATAACACTCTCCAGTTCCATCCACATCATTGCAAATGGCAAGATTTCATTCCTTTTGATGGCTGCATAATATCCCATTATATATATATACCACATCTTCTTTATCCATTCATCTGTCGATGGACATCTTGTAATAGCGGTCTTTTAATTTTCATTTTAGTGTAACAGTTTTAAAGTTTTTGTTGTTGCTCAATCATCTTTGGTAAATTCACACTATTGGTTAGATCATCACCGCTGAATAGCAAGCAAGATGCATCACAGAAGTCACGTGACTTTCTAATATTTGTCAGGGCACTTGCTCAGTATTAAACACACACACTCACACACAAATATATATAGATATAGGTATAGAACTCCAACATATACACATACACATACATATATATGTATATGTGTAATGTTCAAAAATAACAAAAGAGGATATCTGTTAATATTTTTTCAACATCCTTCCAGATATCTCACAATATGCATGCGTGCACACACACACACACACACTATATATATATATATATAAATATAAATAGGTTAGTAATTAATATGGTCCTACGTGCCAGGCACTTAAGAAATATCAAATCATTGAGTCCTTCAACAACTATATAAGTCACTTACTACCACCATCCCCACTTTACATATGAACAAACTGAAGGAGAGAGTGTGAGTAAATTGCCCAAATTTTGGCTCCAGAAACTGAACTCAGCCACTACACTGTGCCTATGCTGCTCATATGTGTTCTGTAAGTAAAGTGTCCATAAAATATACTGACCATACATGGGACTTTTTGAAAAGAAGGGGGACGCTCTTAATAATTATATGGAGTCAATAGACTTTTACTAGAACATGTGGTCACTTTATCCTTGGGTGGTTTAAAAGCATAAACACAGGAGCCGCGCTGCCTGGGTTTAAATTTTGGCTCTGTCACAGTGTAATTTTGGGCAAATTACTAACTTTCTCTGTGCTGCAGTGCTCTTAGCTGTAAAATGGAATGATGGGGGCGCCTGGCTGGCTCAGTCATTAAGCGTCTGCCTTCGGCTCAGGTCATGATCCCAGGGTCCTGGGATGGAGCCCCGCATCGGGCTCCCTGCTCAGCTGGGAAGCCTGCTTCTCCCTCTCCCACTCCCCCTGCTTGTGTCCCCTCTCTCGCTGTGTCTCTCTCTGTCAAATGAATAAATGAAATCTTAAAAAAAGAAATGGAATGATGGTACCCACCACATGTGGGAATTCTGAGGAGCAGGAGGAATAATCTTGATGTGTACAGAGTGCTCACAATGCTATTGTTTTTGGAATTTCAGTATCCCAGACATCTTACGACAATAATAAAATTTAGATCAAGGCCAACATCAAAATGGATACCTAGTATTAAATTTATGTAAATCACAATCCAGCAAATCAGTCCTCTGATGATAGAATATGTCATTTCTAATTTTTTTTTTTTTTTTTTTTTTTTACCGCTCTTGTTTTTTAAATTAAACACCCGGCCTTGGAGATCTTTCAGTGTTAGTACATGTAGATTTACCAGATTCTTTTTAACAGCTCATGGTATCCCACAGGGTAGAGGTAACTATTTGGACAGAAAATTAGTTACCAATTTTCAGTCCTGTTCATTCATTCAATAGATACTTGCTGAGCATCTACTATGTTCTCGGCAGCGATCTACTACTGATAACACAGGAGTGGATGACAGACTTCCCACTCTCACGAAACTTTCATCCCGGTTGGGAGTCACATGCTTCAATGAATGTCTTTGTACATATATTTTTGTGCACTTACAGGAGTGTTTTTGTAGGATAGTTGTCTGGTGGTGGAATTGCTGGATCAAAGGGAGGATCATGCATATTTTAAATTTTGATAAGAATTTCTAAATTCCCTCCAAAATAATAGTACCATTTTAGGCTCCCATTACCATCTATCACAGGACGTGCTTTCCATTGCTCAACAGTATCAACTTTTTTTTTTTTTTTTTACTTATGAGAAAAATAGCACCTAATTGTTTTCTGATTATCAGAGGGTCTTAGCATGCTGTAAATATTTACTGGTCATTTATACTTTTATCTGCGAATTTTCTGTTCAGATCCTTGCTAATTTCCACTGAGTTGCTTATTTATTTCTTTTTAGGGGGGTTCTTTATATATTGTAGATCCTATATATGGTATTTTCTTCCTCTCTGTTCATTGTCCTTGGAACCCTTGTAATTTCTGTTGACCCCCACTCCCGAGACTTTAACTTCAAGGTTATGACTCTTTGATCAATAATCTCTTTCTTTCTATGTTGTTGCAACAAACATCTTTGTTGTTGCAACAAAACATGGCAGGCTGATGTTGTCTCTTTTAGTCATACCGTCTTAGCATCAGACATCTCTTCCCTGGGGCACCTGGGTGGCTCAGTCGGTTAAGCCTCCCACTGTTGATTTCCTCTCAGGTCAGGATCTCAAGGTCCTAGGATGAGCCTCTTGAGTCAGACTCCGCGCTCAGCAGGGGGTCTGCTTGAGTTTCTCTCTCTCCCTCTGCCCCCCTCCCTGCACCTGCTGCCCCCCACCCCCTGTGCACGTGTGCTCGTGCTCTCTCTCTCTCTCTCGAATAAATAAATAAAAATCTTTAAAAAAAAGAAAAATATTTTCCCTGATGAGTTCTGAAATCATTCCTGTGACCCTCTTCTCACACCCCTCCCTTGCTGGGGTCTCCTGCTTTGGCCTTTTGTATTGGGCCAAAGCATCAAGTTATGTCAGTTATTCAACCTTGTAGCTTCTCAGCATTTCTTTGTAGATCTCAGGACTTTGTGTACTTCATATATTCCTTTTCCTTCGTTTTCCTTTTCCAAAATCTCTTACCCCCACAGAAGTTACTTTTTGCCAGTCTTTGAGTATGGGTAGGCAGGCATTGAAACTTGTCCCTGCTTATCAAGCTGGGACTTTCTGAAGTTCAGCCAGGAACATTAAATGCAGAGCACCCCCAAACAGACGACACCTGGTTCTGCTGTCTCAAGATCATATCCAGGAGCTGCATTCTGTCCTGAGATGGCCCTGGGCTCATG